GTTTCCTAACCAACGGAGCCTAATGAGCTGGATTCGATGAGATAGCGAGTTCTTGTTTGAGATATTCCCAAACACCCGACGACTTACTTCTAAGTTACTAACCCACTCACTCCATCCTACTTGGACCAGACTACATAAGCATCGATTGTCGAAAACCACTGGGCGACGGATGTCTTCTACCCCCAAATTCAAGGTCTCAACAGTAAAGCAGAAATGATCGTACAGTGGCACACTATACACAACTTTTCAATTTCAATGAAACATCACGTCGTCGCCACAGGTGTTTCAGTCCTGCGTACGCTGCTTGAGCCTTGGAAATGCGAGCGGTTATCTTCGATGCGCTATCGTCGATTGTCACGCAGCCACCTATGTACGAGAAGCAGTCAACAACAGCTAATTCTTGACCGTCTAGTTTCAGAGCAGAACTCGACATCCTCATCATCGTACAGCGAAATACAGTAAAGCGAACTTCACTGATCGCTGCCAAGCCCGCAATGCAAACAAGGTTAGTGGTAAAATTTAAAGTGGATAGGGATTGGATCTACTTAGAGGGAGGGAGAAAAACGTGAACCAGTATGATCAACACACAGAGCACGCAATCGGACTCTGTATACATATCATTTCAAGCATTCTGATTTCATAAGAAATGACAACAAGAACGCCACTGCTGCCGGTTCGCTGCCATATCCTTCAATGTCCCCAACCAACCGGTTGTGGAGTCCTTCGAACCCCAACCTGGAAGGCGAGAGACACCTACTTCACCTAATGGCTCTGTGCATTTCTTCATGCCTCGTCTCCACATTATCTGTTGGCCTGCACGCGATTTCCTCCAGCGCGGATTAGCTACAGCAAAAAGCGCCATGCGGCAGACGATGGCTGGGCATACGCAATAGGTGCCCTAGACAGCGAAGCCTACTAATCTGAATGCTGTGTGCTAGCAGGTTTATACATGATAGACTCCCAAACACACCACTAACCCCCACCTTAGTCACCCGTTCGCTCCATCCAACGTGGGCTAAACTACGTAAACACCGATAATCGAAAACTTTTAGTCCACCGATATCTTCTACTCGCGAATTCAGGGTCTCACAACCATAAAGCGGGACTGAACGAACGCTAGCACAATATACACGACCTTCCAATTTCAGT